TTGCATAAGTTAAGGTAAACAAACTTATGTGATTAGAATGGTTATACTCTCATTGTAAGTCATTTTGGATGAAACAAAGAAAGTGATAAAATTGTAATATCCTGCCTCCTTAACCCTTAAATCTGTGAAGATGATTATAAATAAAAAAAAAGAAAAAATGCAGAATTACATGAATTGCAGGACAATGAAACGAAATGTTATGACAATGCAAGCATTTTTACCTATTAACACTCACTTGGATATTTTTTATACCCATCATCGAAGGAAGCGGGGTATATTCATTTTATTAAACGTTTGCAACGCCCAGAACGAAGCATCAGAGATCCCACCAAGTAGATATATTCGTGATCATCAGCATCAAATTTTAAATCGATTTAAGCATGTCCGCCCGTTCGTCTGTGCAAAGTCTGTTGTAAACATCCTCCTGATCGTAAATATGAAGCTCCATCGACTTGAAATTTGGCAGAAACATTTGAGTTTTTGAAAATGCGTCAAATCAGTCGAAGGACATGCCCAACTACGCAAACCCAGAAAACACCTTTGCTTTTCAAAAAGAATAAAAAATTGAATTTTCCTCATTACTCTAATAAACTATAGCAACTAAATGTAGAAATGGGAAAAATTGACCACGTCTACCCAATATCATAGTGTATCAAAATTTAATTTCTTTTTTTTTTGAGCGCAGAAACAAGCTTCAAAAACTCTATAAATTATATAAGTCCTTGGCCAGTTTCAAATAATTTGGAATTGACCTGAACTTTTCAAAGGGCAAGCCTGCAAAAGCCCACATGCTTTTAAGACAAAAACTTTTATTTTGAAAATAGCAAAAATTACACTCCATCGCACTCGCTCCATATTATAGAGCATGAGAATTTTGTTGTTTTACTTCTTTTGTCTTTTTCAGGATAACGGTGATGGGTATAAAAGATTCGATCCCGACCGAATTAAATTTTCTTACTTTTTTTTTTTTTTGCTGGGAATGATATGGACATTCAGAGGAGGCGAACAGGCAAGTCCTTTACGAGTTTTTACTTCTTTCAGAGGAGAATGTATTGCCCACTACTACTAACTATATATTTTTCATATCCCCCTAATACACTATATGTTTGCTTTTTCTCGAGCAAAGCATTCTTGGAGTTAGTTTTCGAATTTTTTGTGATTGTTGAAAAGCTGTTCGGAGAGTGCGCGCGACATTGAGGCATCGATGCGACATATCGAGCGTTCAAGATTAATCGTTCCACCGGCACTTGACAACTTATAAAACATCGCATTCCTCGATTCGATCAATTCATTACATTTTACGCTTTCGATTTTCAAAACATACACAATGCATTGATACCTTTGAAGCGACATATCGTTCGCTTATAAATTTTCGATTCTTCAACTATTGCGTGTCACATTAATTGTGTCCATTGATACTCTCTCTATTAAGTGAAATTTAGTCGCTCTATTATCATTTTTATGTATCATCTGCATCTACTATTATTGTTTGATGCCGCTGGATGGTGTTCGTCGTTATCCATATATATCGTCACGTTTGAATGTTTACAGCGAGTTCACTCTGTTCACGCCATATAAACGTTCGTTATTTTAAGCACGAATTCTGTCATTTTCAATATGAAAATGATGCGTAAGCCGCTGTTACTTCTCGATATGCCTGCACACCGAGCTTGAAAGCCTATTTATTATTATTATTATTATTATTATTACTTTCGCCAGAGAAATAAATTCTAAGACTAAACTCTTAAAAGCGCTAGCATCTAAGGCTATCGGCCTTTATTAAAAACTCTACCGCACTTGAGATTCGAACCCACAACCACTGAGTTGCTAGTCGAGACTCTTGCCTACTCGGCCACCCAGGCGGATTTTGAAAGCCTAATATTTGGAAGTGCAAGTAAATTAGGCTGCAAATATCATTTTTGGCAAATGCTTGGCGACAAATGCTAGACCACTTTTTTCTAGGGGGGAAAAAATCGATAAGGACTTATTTGTGAAGCTAAGTTCTTTGCTTTTTAATTTATTATCGAAAAGCAACTGAATTGAAAAATTGATCGAAATTATGCTATATGTATTATATTTAGCTTATACCGTCGTCTCTTTAGATATCGTCTACCCTTCCTCAGATATCAGATGTCTTAATGCACAATTTCCATACAAATATTCCGTCGTTTGCAATAAGTACATAAGTAAGTCGTTAGGAACATTAACAGAATAAAGTGTGTTAGGTGAATAACACTGTTATAGGTAGATTTCTAGTTTTCAGATTTGTAATATTTTGGCATTCGTACAAGTGAATTTTGTTTGAGAGCTTCGATGATGATTATTTACTAGAAGTCATTCCAGTCATATTCCCCACGCACACGCACACGCACACGCAAACACATACATCCAACATTTTTTCAATCTTAAATTCTTCATTTTTTTTTTAACCGTAAGTATTGAACGAAACTCGAAAATCTGAAAATTAAAAATCTATCTTTCTTCGTTACATTATAATGTTCTTCCCTCTTATGTTATAATTATAATTTTTCCGTCATGTTATTACGTATGTTTTCCAAGTACAGTGTATTTCGTATGCGGGGCATGTGTACCTTTGAATATATTATTTAAAATTTATAATTCTTATAAACGACGACATATTTGTCTTTGAATAGTGTTCGCTCATCATGGATAGGTTATTAGAATTATGCAATAATCTAGATACCCTCCTCCTCCCGCTCATATAGCATGTTCCTTTTCATAATACATATTTCTCTTTAAGTTACATTACGGATTGATTGCGCGGATTTTTCAGTTTTTTTTTTTTTTTTTTTGTTGTTTAATACAAAAGGTCTATGAACATTATTGATTTTGAGAGGACTTGCAAATAAATATGGTGGATAGTAATGTTGATAAGTAAGTTTGACATTGGTTAAAAGAATATGTATAAATGTTGTTTAATTGGATCGGTTTGGAATGCGTACCTTTATACATTGAAAAGGAAATGATAAAAAGGAAGCAACATAATGATACATACTTCAGTGATGGGTATAAAAAACTATATATAATAATATCCTTGATATATAAAAGTGAATATAACAATTTGGGGGAATATGAGATTTTTGTTAAACGGCTTGAAATGTTTTGAATAAAGTATACAGCTTTTCTTTTTTTTCATTTTTTTTTTTTTTTACTCTCCTCTTATGATATTTCTTATGTCTTGCAAACATGTTCTTATACCACAGGTGGAAGAAAATAGAGATTGGTAATGGGTATAAAAAAGGAGCATCGATTATGACAATTGATTTTAATTGATCGATTTTGAATATATATTCAAAAAAGTTAACTGTTTAAGTTGCAGACGCAAAAATAGCTGTTTTCCAGAGTTAAAATAAAATTAATTTTAATTTAAAAAAAAAATTATGATAATAACAATAATCTTTTTTCGCTATCCTCTATCAATGTTTTCATACAATTCTCGATGTCTTCAAAAATAATAAGTCTAATAACAGCTAACATTTTGTAAATAATAATAAATTAAATAATGTCATAGTGTGACAATAAATGTGGTTGTAATGTTTTACTTTTTGAATATGTTCTTTGTTTCATCTTAAGCATTACAAACTCTAGTAAGACTTTATTTTATGTTATGTTATGTTATGTATTTGGAAAATATGTTTATATGTGTTAAAAGAGTTCATAGTTTTATTTCTATTTCTATGCTTCACTTATCGTTTTTAACTTATAAATTAAGCAATCCTTGTTATTTATATATGTTTTGTTTTGTTTTTTGTTTTTTTTTTTATTTTTATTTTTTTTTCTTTTTAAATTTCGTTTGACTTTTTTCTTTGCTAAACTAACTAATACGAAATAAAATATTAGACAGAAACATGTATGAATAAAATGATAAAAATAACTGTCGTCAATTTTCCCCGTTTCTCTTTCCCTTTTTCTTGCGGGTGTTAAGCATATTTTACAATTTAAACTAACTTTAATTACAATCTAAAAGTGAAAATAAGAGGTGCGCATAGTTAAAAGAAAAAAATTGATGTGAAAGAAATTAATGCCATTACAGATGAAAGGAAGCTATAATGGCAAGTTCAAACATGGCGAAAGATTACCGAAATGTTGAAACATCCATCCATGTAGCAGTTTTACAACAGATCTAAAACAAATAGACAGACAACAAGTGGACGTCGCTAATCTAAGACCATATACGGATTTATATTCAGAAATTTTTTTTTTTTAATTAGTTAAAACGTATGCGCAAACTACGCTTTCACTTACCGTTTTCCCGTTTACTAAATCTTTTGCTTTTCATCCGAACAGATACTTTCTAGCTTTACTTCTAATCGGCTCTCTTAGCTTCGGCGCCAGCAGCTGCCGTAGATGCAGAGGTTGATGACGATTGTTGTATTAGTTCTTCGAGTGCAAAGAAGCCACCGCTTGAAGTACCGCTTGCTGTCGTTGTTGCTATAACATGTTGGCCAGCCTCGTCTGTTTGGGCATTTTCTTCAGCTCCACTACCGTCCTTTTCCAAGCCGGCATCAGCGGCAGCTGCCGCTTCTAGAACTTGATGCTGAACCTGTACAATAGGTTGACCATCTTCCGTATAAGATACCGAAACCGGTATACGGGTACCATCCTCGCCGATCACATGAGCGCCCCCCTCGCCATCCTGCGACTGTTGTATAACGAGTTGACCTTCGGCATTAAGAAGAGAAGCATCAATTAATTGTGTTTCATTATTCTCTCCTTGCACCAACACCATTTGACCATTAGCATCAGTCATCATTTGCAGTGTTTCACCATCCAGCCCGTCGCCAGGCTGAAGTACGCCCACAGATTGCAATAGCTGTTGTATTTGTTCAGGGTCTTGCACAAGTATCTGATTACCATCGGCATCGGTTATAATGTGATTATCCAATTGTAACAATTGACCGCTTTCATTAAGAATAAATTTAATTTGCCCACCGTCAACCTGGGCCTGCATAGTAGCTTCGTCTAGTTCCAAAGCAACTTGTTGTTGCTCACCCGCTGCAGCTACGGCAGCGGCCAATTGCTCATGCGTAGCACCCTCGCCCGTTTCTGTAACGGTTTCATCGGCAGTACTACTATTATTATGCTGAGAAACAGCGCTGTTTTCACTCGCAGTATTGGCAGACACTTCATGTGAAGATGTCTCAGACTGATTTTCGTTACTCTGTTCTTCAGCTTCAACTTTAATGTTCTCTCCACCCAACGATTTCGGACTATTTTCAATTTTAACGATCGATTGTACATTGGGTTTTACATCTTGACTTAAATCATTGGCAGTTGTTGTTGGTACAGAGACTGAGCTCGGTTCTTCATTGTCATCATCTAAGCTAGGCATACTAACTGGACCTGATATGGAAGGTTTCACGTCACCTTGCGATTTACTGATGGCTGTTGTGGTTGTATTGTTCGTAGTCGTAGTGGGTGCGTGCGTCGTTTCATCGGGTTGGTCAAGCATAGGCATATCGATGCTTACCGAAACTGGTGCCGAAGTAGTGGGCGTACTTTGTTGTGTTTGCCGTCTATGCTGATCGTCCCCTGCGGTAGCAGAACCGCCTCCTTCCTGACCGGGAATTGTTATATTAAACGTAATACCTCCTCCTGAACCCGCCTGCGAAGTGATTACAACTTGATCACTACTTCCACCAGCAGCAGTAGTGGTGCCAGATGATGTGGTAGTCGTAGCTGTTGATTCACCCTTATCGGAATGCATTTTTTCAAAAATGCTCTCAATGTCGGCTTCGAGGCCAGATTCGATTGTACAATTGCCTGTAGCATTAACAGTTCCACTAGCTTGTTGCTGTTGTACTGTCAATTCAGCAGAATTTGCATCCAATTGAGCTGCCTCACTGAGTAAAGCGGCAGCATTTAGGGCAGACATGGTATTGTTCGAATTTGAATTCTTCTTCATATTTGCGTCGCCACGTTGATGTGTTTCCATATGTTGATTATAGTAATTTTCTTGGATAAAAGTAAGCGAACAGATGTGGCACGAGAAAAAGCGAATGTTATTGGCGGAAGTAGCGCCTCCAACATCACCTGTTGAACTAGTCGTTACGGGTGTATTCGTAGTCTCACTGAGAGCCTCATCAATGGTTTCTTGTAAAAGCTTTTGGGTGGTAAGCAGATTTTGCGATGATGTTGGCGGGGCAATTTGCTGTTTCACTGCAACAACCTGCTGCTGCTGTTGATTGACATTTTGTTGATGCGTCTGTTGCTGCTGCTGTACCTGAGTGTCTTGTTGATGTATTTCGAAATGTTTGACAAGTAATTCGCGTTTTGAGAATGACATCGAGCAAGTACCACATTTAAACACGTTGCCTTGATGCTGCTTCGCATGTGTAGTAGCTGCTTCACGTGTTTCGAAGCGCTGAGCGCATAATCGACACTTGAATGGTTTCGACTTAACGCCTGCTATATGTTTGCGCATGTGTTCATCGAACATAGCCTTATCCGTCGACTTGAACTGACAATGGGTACATGTGTACAGAGGCGTAGTTGTAACTGTAGCTGTGCCCGATGTAATGGGATCGACAGCCGGAACGGCTACTTGTGCTACAGGTACTGTAGTTGTGCTGGTGACTACCACATTTGTACTGTGGTTCAGTTCCATATGTTTACGCAAAGCCGCTTCACTAGCAAAGTTAATATGGCATACGGCGCAAGTGTTATCCATTGGTGTATTATGTTCTCGAACCATATGCTGTTTCATCGCTCCAAAGTTAGGGAAGATTTTCTTGCAATTTTTACACTGGAAGTTTTGGTGCTTGCAGGTCTCATAATGGGTATTGAACAAACGCATATCAGAAGTTTTGTATTCGCATGATAAACATTTATAGATTTTGGTGGTTTTGCGTTGTAGGGTTTGTGTACCGGCAGAGTGTTGCTGCACTGTTGTGGGCGAATGTGTAGAAATTTTCATTTGTTGCACGGCGCTTACTGTAACAATTAATAATAAGTGAATGAAGCTTAATTATTTGCCACATTATTGACGTATTATCGAAACTTACCTGCAGCTCCGCTATTTAACTTCTGCAATTTGTTAGGCGGTGCTGTAGGACTAGCAGTAGCACCACCTCCATCATCATTCAATCCATATTTTTTATTTAACAAATTCATTAAATTGGTGCGCACGCGTTCAACATCATTTTCCAAACGATCCAAATAATTGATCAGATTTGTACAACGAGCACAGACAACATCTTCAACACTTACAATAACCATAAAAGAATCGCCCACTAGCTGGCCAATCTTATTCGGAAATTTTGTTGATGTATGCGATGTTTGCATTTCAGTTAGTTGATTTTGAGCTTGGTTTGCCCCTAAGGCGTCATCGCATACATAGCAACGATTAATGTTAGCGGATGTCGCTGATGTAACCAAATGCTGTATACTATTACCGGTTGCTACTGTGGTATTACCACCAGCTACATTGGTACCACTACCGCTACCGGAGCCTACAATTTTCTGTTTGAGAATCCGCGGTTGATTCGGCCCAGTTACTGTTACAGCGCCACTCGATAACAAATTATGTATTTTGCGTACTGCATTATTCATTTGATTATTCATTGTGGATTTTTTTTTTTTCTTTTTTAGTTTCCGAGATGTTGTCTCCAAATTTTTAATAGTAATGTCAGTGAAACATTAACCTAAAAAGAAATGCAAATAATTCATTTGCTTTTATTGTAACTGGCCTCGGCAGACTTCGCTAAATACAATAGAAAATATCCCAACACTTTTTCGGGGCAATAATTTGAAAACTTTAATTAATTTCAAATAGTAAATTTCCTCTCTTTTCCTTTATTCACTAATATCACAATATTTTTAATTCGCTTATCTCTAGCAACCAAATTTCCCCAGTTTGTTAAAAAAACGTTTCACGCACATTATGCTATATGCGCGTGAGAAAAAGAGAGCTAATATGCACTTTTAGCCTTTCGTTCGTTAAATTTTATGTTTCGTCAAATTTAGCAATGACACATGCTTCGTGCAAACACACGAATAGTAACGCAAGTGGACGAAAGAAAATTATTCTAAAAACATGGAAAAGCAAAGCACAAAACTAACTAGATATATTTTTGACAGTTTATATGGAGCAAAATTTATAAGCGCAGTATCACACATATATATATCACTCCACATAAAAACAACAAAATTTATACCACAATTTCTATATTTTTTAGTTAAAATGAAAATCCTTCAAACATGTATTAAACTTTAGTACTATTTGTCCAATTTGCATTGATTTAAATAGTTGTTGGTTTTATTGGGTTAACTATGCTGTTGTAAGTGTCCCCTCAATATACCTTCCCAACATTTGTTGTAAAACAAAATGCACGCACATATATACACAGTGAAATTTCTTAAATACCGCGCGCTTTGCTTTCGACGTAGTCAATAAATTGCTCGTCGTAATATGAAGCAATTAAAGGCGTTTCAAAGATGTTGGGGAAGTTATACAGGTAAACCACACTGTCAGCCAGTCAACCGTTAAAATTACTAGAAATCGGAAAATCAACAAAGAGACGCGCCAAATATTATCTCACTCCATTATAAAATATACTTAATTAACACTTTTCCGGTTATTACCTAAATATTTCATTCTTGATAGTATTTGCTAAGGTTTTAAATGCTCTTCTGGTCTTGTTTTTGAAATTTATCTTCTTTTTTTTACTTTTAAAGATATACCACCACTCTCTTCTTTACTATATATAATTTAACATATATATACAATTATACTGTTTACGCGACGAAAAAATATTTAAGACTAGTTTGTGGTGCCGCTACTGTACGAATGCTAGACCAAACTCAACGAAAAAAAATACAACTGAAAAAAGCACGAAGCTGAAGAGCAAATTAAACGAAGAATGGTGGTGGTTCTATTAACCATCATAAAACTCATTAAAATAGTTTAAAAATTCTTTTCCCATTTGGTATTTTTACAAAGGCAAACACCACTTCTCCATATTTCTTTATAAATAAATAAGGCTTTATAAGATTGCAATACGATTTTATTAGAATAATTTTCTTTTTCAAATACAGCTCTAGACGGGAGACGTTTTATATTTGTTACTCACAAGCAACACTGTACAACGAACTCTGCTAATAATTCACAAACACACCATAATATCCAACCGTTTTTGCCGCAACTTCGTTAAATTATCACTCAAGCTATCTCTATTGTTCCGTCATTTGATATTCGCATGGCAAACAGAGATCGTTATAAATGACATACACATTTATCTTTAATTTGTGTACTGAACAAGCAAAATGGCTTCCTTGCTTGCACAGCTTCGTTGAATTTTTTCTACATAGTTTTTTTTTCTGCCGCTTTTTTTCTCGTTCAAGCAGATGTGTTATTCTTATGCCGGCACATTTATTAAAGTTTGGAATTTCACACGATTTACATAATATTTGTAGTTAAACTATACCTTACTTATGAATTACACTTAGGTTTTTTTAAACTTTTGAGAAAATACGGAATATTTTATTAGAACTAATAACCGACACAATAAAACGTGTAGAATGTTTATGGAAGACAGGGTCGGTCGTCAGAATCCACGATCCATTTTTTTGTCTGAAAATTTAAGTTGAAAGTTGCAGAGGGCATTTATATACACAAGTTGCAAGGTTTAAAGCTTGCCAAGTCAAGCATTTAATTATTTATTTATAGCTTGCTTTGTTGATAAAAAAAGAATAATCGGGTAATCGCGTATATCACTTCCAGAAACGTGATTAATCCCACTTATTGCTAATATATTATCGATATCATTTTTACACGACACTATGTATCGGCTCGTCTCTTTTGTTTGTTGAGTGTATTGCGTATGGATATTCTATTATATATTTCCTAATTAAATTTTGATCAAATTTGGCTTTTCTCATACTGTTTCAATATAAAAAATACTTTAATACTGAATAATTAATAATTAATACAATGCTTGCTATAAATTCCTATTCATACTGTTGTTTTTGTTGCTAAATTGCCAAATTGTTTGTTTGTGTAGAATTTCAACAGATGTTTTTTATCGATTAGCAAAGAATTTGGAACAAATTTGGGACTTTTGCCAACGTCTTTGTAAATCAACAAAAGTATTCTTCTTTCTTTAAAGTAGCAGAAAATTTAACGTGGGTTTTGCTTGCCTACCTTTAGGTGTAATATTAAAGTAATAATTGAGATTGCTTATATGTCCTGTTAGAATTTCTTTTTAGTTTTATCTTCTTTTTGATGACGAAATATGTTCATATGTTTATATATGTTTTATCAAGTCTAATCAAAGATAATAAGATAAGAATAATCTTTTCGTTTTTCTTCGTATCCTATACTGTATAATGGATTTAAAGTTAAAAAAGGAAGGAAAAGCCACAATATGGTTTATTTTTTTATAAACGGTTTATCTATTTATTTATATGTTTTATTCACTTTATTCACTACTACTGTTGGTTTTGTCGCTAAATTGCCAAATTGTTTGTTTGTATAGAATTTCAACAGATGTTTTTTATCGTTAGCAGAGAATTTGGAACAAATTGAGGACTTTTGCCGACGGCTTTGTAAATCAACAAAAGTATTCTTCTTTCTGTAAATTAGCAGAAAATTTAGCTACTGCTTTGTTTAATTTGATAATAAAAAAAAAAATAACGGCGGTCTACTTTTAGGCTAACTTGTAAAATTAAATAAGTTTAGTTCGCGTATTTTCCAAAACACTAAACATTAAACGGCTAAACATCTAGAGGTGATGGAAGAGCAAAAGCGAACCAGTCAACGAAAAAGAATCGGAAACAATCAAGAAACCATTAAAAAGAATAACAATTTCTTTTATATAATATATATTTTTATATACATTAATAAAGTATTTTAAATGTATAATAAAGCTATTATATAAATAAAGCTATTTATTTTATTTATATTTAAATATAAATTATATAAATTAATATACAGCACCAGGAAAGGGCAATTTGATTTTCCCAATGACAAATCAAAGCGGCTGAAAAAGTGTTTGTTGCTATATAAGCGCCAACTAGACGATGGTTATATTTTTATTTAAAATTAAATTTTGGATTTAACGACAACAAGTACTTTTTACGAAATTTCGGGACATTTAGGACAGTCGAATGCCTAGTTTAGTTGGATTCATCATTAAGAGCCATTAGTCTTTTTCTAGTTGCGGTTGTTTTAAACTTGGATTTCATACTTTTATTCGATATCCGAGCTTTTATATCTTTTAATTCAGTTTCATAATCCGTTTCCAGCAAATTATCTTGAAATTCTCTTAGAACATTTTGTATGGATATTTTGTTCTTTTCCGATATGGAGATTTTTTTACCATTCGCTGTTTGAAAACCTGCAGAGATAAAAAAAAAATCATAAAAATTAGCATCAAAAAAGTGTGAGGAATATCAATGCACAGCTCTTCGGAGTATAATCACCTGGATTATTACGTATAGGGCGTAGTTGAACGGCAGACCAAAAGACATTCATCCCAACAACGCTATTTCGTAGCTGAAGGATAGTATAACAACAATAACGACAGTGATCAACATAAGCCGATAACTTGTCTTGATTTGAGCATGAAGACCGTTACTTGTGTTGATGAGAATTTCATGGACTAGTTGTAAAGTTTGAAAGATAAGGTCATAAAAAGAAATGCCACGGAATCATCGTAAGCTTCGCGTAATATGTAAAAGGAACTAATTTAAATGAAGAAAAATGTCAAAAAGTATCATAAGGGAATTGTATACCATAAACAGACGACAGTTAGATGAAGGGAAACCATCTTCAGATTTCATATTCATTGTGGGAGTCGCCTTTGATACACACCTACCTTTAACTAATCGCCTTGCCTTATTTTTCTTCTCGAAAACAGATGCCGATAGATCTTTGTCCATGGGCATAAACTTCAAATCACAATTGCGTCCGACGTTTCAGTTTGCGACAATATAAGCAACTCTTCAACTCACCCTACTTCCATTTTTAGCAAAATTGAAAACCATTCGCAAACGATAACAAACTGAACACAAAGTCAAGTTCAAGTCGTAATAATTACACCCAAAAAACTTAAGCACATCAGTCGAATTTCATAAAAATAAGCAATTTATTATAGTTATTTCATATTTTATTTATTATTGTTTTTATTTTGTTTCGATTTCATTTCGCTTTCGCTGAAAATACATTATTTTCTGTTGTTTTTTTCGAATCTTATTACAATACTGTTAATGACAAATAACAGCGATAGCCGAAGGGAAGCCGGATGCAAAAGGTCAAGCACCTGAGCGTTTATTGAAAAAAGCTACCGATCTAATGGGTCACTAATGTGTTTGACACGGCTCATAGGCCAAAATTTGAGAATTAGCAGCCCATTTGGCCCATATTCCTCTTAAGTGAGCGGAAAAATTAGTAAAGCTTTCACCACGAAAGAGTTGCTATGGTCCAGCAAACAGCCATATACTCTGAAGGCTTTACAGATTTGCAAAGAACTAAGTCTATACTCCTTGAAGGCTACTGAGGATCATGCAAGCGACGAAAGTGAGGTTATGATGAATTCAGCTCGTTTCGCTGTTCAGGCGTGTCTTAGAGCCATTGAAAAAGAAACTGTGGAGTTTCCTGAAAATTTGGACGAACTAAAAGAAATACGTATGTTGTCGGAAAAAGTCACCGAACATATAAAACAAAGAGCATCCAAATAAAATATTTTTTAAAATCTAGTAAAATACATAAAAGCTTTTAATTAATTACATTTAATTTGGTGGTTACTAAAACTCGAACTGTCTGATCGAATGCTCCACAAATACTTAGGCCTTGTTTACCTGGATGCCAGTCCAAACAATGTATAGGTTGGGTGGAGACGGTAGTGGCCTGTAACATGTGTAAAGAACCCTTTGCGCCCTCGTTGAATCCGTCTGTAGATTCCTTTAAACGTTTCTCATGATATTCATAACTCCACAAGCGCAAAGACCACCTCCTGTAACGAAAACGTCTCGATTCTGTGGTAGATGACGGGCACACCAAACGATGGCTTTTGGACCGGAGATGACACCATTTGAGCCTACGGACCGCCCAGCATTGCGTTCTTCTAAATAAGCAAAGCCCTGAATGGGATGTTGTGATCTCATATCGTACAGCAAAAGTCCACCCTCTAAAGTAGTTACTACCATCTTGTTCATAGGTATGTCGCGACGATCAAATTCTATGCTGCAAACACCATTTTTGAGTTTAGTTTCCCAACGTACTGATAACTGTCGAAGATCAAATAGCTTTAAGTCTCCATTATCATAGCTGGCAGCGACGACGCGTTCTTCATTATTGTAACTATCGCCGAATGCAACAGCCCAACAATCACGTTTAGTTTGAATTTTATCCGTACTTTCATCTGGATGATCACCGGTGGTTATATCAACGCCAGGAGCATTGCCTTGAATAGCATCAATAGTATTTACAATAGTGGAATGAGCCTCAACATTATAAACTGCAATCTCCGGGCGTTCTAAATCTCTGAGCAATATTATTAAAATATCTCAGATATGTACTTGTGTACATTTGTGTCTAAATTGTTGAAAATACTTACAAGACCTGCAAGCGTCCATTGAAATCACCTACGGCAATGCGCCGCATTTAAATGCGTTTTTCTTTTCAACGGTCTCAACTTTTTCTAATTTATTCTCATTTAACTCATATATGTCCAGAATGCCTGTGTTATTCGGTGTTGAACCTAGCGCCACGAATTTAGCTGAACAAGGAATCCATTTGCAATCATATATTGTATAATCTAACGATTGATTCATATGTTCTACAATCTGTGGTTTGTCCATAACGTAATCTGAATATTTTACTCATTTATTTTTTTTTTTTCAAAAAAGTTTACAAACAGAAAATAATTTATTTGCTTGCTTAGATTTTCTTTTTGTTCTGACAGTAACAAAAATAATAAAAATAGGTAGAGTATTCATATTTATTTCTGTAGTAGCGGCAAGGCATAAGTTATTTGTAGGGGTAGTCGTTTAAATCAAATGCCCTAATCTAAGGCAAGGCAAGGTAAGGTTCAAAAGTAATATACGCTTCATCCGCCTGAGTGGCCGATTAGGCAAGAATCGCAACTAGCAACTAGCAACTCAATGGTCGTGGGTTCAAATCTCAAGTGCGGTAGAGTTTTTAATAAAGCCGAAATCCTTAGATGCTCTAGTGCTTTAAGACTTTTTGAGTCTTACAATTTATTCTCTGACTAAATTTATAATAATAATAGTAATAATAATATTCGCTTCAAGGAGACCGTTTTTGATTTTTACTAATTTTCAATCTTATACGAACATAAGTATACTATGTAACAACTTCGATAAGTCCTTTACCGTTAATAAACTAAAAAAAAAGTCAATAATTTCATTTGTTTTTGTGGATAATTTCTATATTATGGCTATAAATGAATAAGAAAAGGGTAGGAATATGAAGAGAAATTTGCCCTTGATAGCAGTTGTCTACAACTTTTTTCTTTGGTCTTTGTTTGTTATAATTTACAATGTATTACATTATCGCATGAGTGGTTTTTAAATTATAGGGTAAGGAAACTATTCTATAAAGAATTGATGCGATAAACGCCCAAAATAATGCTGTGTTTGTCTGATCTTAATAATAAAACCATCTGGACTTATTTTTGTACTTTACTTCACGATCTTTGCAATTGCAAGACTTCCTCCGCCAATTATTAAAGCAAAAAAGTAATTTCTAAATTATATATGTAAGAATGCAAATAACAAAAGTTTCTTTTTAAAAATGACGTTTTTGAAAGATGATAATAATGCCTTTTGGTTAAATATCGTGGTTTCATAGGCAAAATAGGTAAAGCGTTTTGTTTTGTATTCATTTTTATTTAAATATGGAAGAATAATGTTACATTTTGAATCAAGCAAAGATTAGCTAATCAGCTGAAGAAGCTACGACTTCTGTTACGGCTATATCGTAATTTGTATAACAACGAATTCATATCAAAATAAACAAACATTAAAGTCAAGGTTTAGTAAAAATTCATTTAATTTCGGATAAGCATAAATAAAAATATTCTTGAATAGGAAGTTTCTTGATGAATTTTTGAATATTCGGGCAGATTGTTTATTCAATGATGTAAACATTTACGCCGACTTACATTTTGTCTGCAAGAAAAAAGGAAAAAAACAAAAAAACAAAAATGCGAGGCGTTTTAAAATGGATGGACAAAGTAGAATTTCCTAATTCTAAGGATGCAAATGTTAGGTATATTTTGTTTTTTACTAGACAAATCAATCGTAATACCGTAGGTGCTATAAATTTTTTATTTTCGATATTTTTAGTATTCATGCCGTGTGTTACAGTCCAGATGGTAGTCAGATTATTGTAGCTGCTGGTGAACGCGTACTTGTGTATGATTCCGGCGATGGCACTCTTTTGAATACCTTAAAGGCTCATAAAGATGTTACCTATTGTGTAGCTTATGCCAGAGATGGGAAAAAGTTTGCTACCGGCGGCGCCGATAAAACGGTAATAGTTTGGTCATCTCAATTGGAAGGGCTTCTCAAATATTCGTAAGTTATCATTATTTAATATTGTTCAAGTCACGAATCATTCTATTTCTAGTCACGCTGATTCCGTGCAGTGCATGAGCTTTAATCCTATATCGCATCATTTAGCCTCCTGTTCCTCCTCTGATTTTGCCTTTTGGTCAGCTGATCAAAAAGCTGTGCAGAAATATAAAATTCATTCGCGTATAAATGGATGCTGTTGGACTAGTGATGGCCAATACCTAGTTATGGGTTTAGCTAACGGTTCTGTCACTATACGTAATAAATCAGGCGAGGAGAAGGGTCGTATTGATCGGCCTGGTGGTTCTAACTGCGCAGTATATGGCGTCCAATGCTGTCCTGTTGCAGTAGAGTCCGCTACTGATACCATCGCTATTGCGGATTGGGGTCAAACCTTGTCGTTTTATACCTTAAGCGGTCAGATCATAGGTAAGGAGCGTTCTTTAGGTTTTGATCCGCTCTCCCTATGTTATTTGCCAAATGGCGAATATTGCCTCGTCGCTGGATGTATCGGCGTTTTACATTATTTCACTCGCGACGGAGTACGCCTTGGTACTTTGGGCGATTCATCAGACACTTCGTGGATTTGGTCGGTAGCGATTCATCCCGGCGGTCAATCCTATACGACAGGCTGTCAAAATGGCGTTTTAACTTGTTACACCTTAGCCATGACAACTGTACATGCTTTATATCGAGAACGTTACGCTTTCAGAGAGCACATGTGCGATGTTATTATACAACATTTAATATCGGGGCAGAAAGTACGCATAAAATGTCGCGATTTAGTTCAAAAAATTGCAATTTATAAGCAACGCTTGGCGGTCCAATTGCCAGAAAGGATTGTTTTATATGAATTAGATTCTACTTCGGATGAGCCTATGCATTATAAGGTGAAAGAGAAAATTCAAAAGAAATTCGATTGTAGTCTGTTGGTAGTTTGTGCCTACCACATCGTTCTATGCCATGATCAGAAGCTGCAATGTTTGGATTTTGGTGGAGTGTTGCAAAGAGAATGGCTGATGGACGCATTTATACGTTATATTAAAGTAATTGGCGGACCGGCTGGTAGAGAGGGATTGATGGTGGGCTTAAAGAACGGTCAAGTAAGTAATTTCGAATATTTTGACTTATTACAATTCTTTATTCGAAATCCGTCAAGGTCTACCGTATATTTCTCGATAACGCCTTGCCAGTGCTCATTACAACAGCAGTCTCAGCGGTGCGATGTTTAGATGTTAACGCGAATCGATCGAAAATTGCGGTGGTAGATGATGGCGGACGTTTAGTTGTAAGAGATATTGTCAACGATTCGCTGCTTTATCAAGACTCTGGTGTGAATTCAGTTACCTGGAATACCCATTTAAGTGCAATGCTATGTTACACGCATACAACCGGTGGTTTAACAGTTCGTGTAGGCAATTTGCCGCCGCGTGTTCCTCAGCACATGTTGGGAGTTGTAGTTGGTTTGTGCGGTGCTACTGCATTTTGCTTACGTGGCAATGTTATGCATAATGTACCTTTGGCTCTGGGGGCCACTATGTGGCAATTTGTCGAAGCCGGTTTATTTGAGTGAGACGGAATTGATTTTTTTTTTTGTTTTTTATCACGAAGTGAACATCTATTGTCCTTTCAGAGAGGCTTATCAAGTGGCTTGCTTAGGTGTCACAAGTGCAGATTGGGAAGGCTTGGCAAAGTCAGCATTGGAAGCTTTACATCTGAATATAGCCCGCGACGCTTATGTTAAGGTTAGAAATCTACCTTGGCTTCAAATAATCGTGGACTTGATGGAGAAACAAAAACGCGGTTTAGTACCTAAAGAGGTACTTCAGGCTGATATTTGCGCTTATTCCGGAAAGTATAAAGAATCCGCTAGATTTTATGAGAAGTGCGGCCAACCCAGCAGAGCACTGGAAATGTATTCCGATCTATGTATGTTTGATTTGGCGCAAGAATTCATACGCGATGGCAGCGCTGATGAAAAGAAAGCTCTAACACGTAAACGAGCGGATTGGGCGTATGCGGTTAAAGAACCGAGAGCGGCAGCAGAATTGCTTTTGAGTGTTGGAGAACATCGGAAGGCTATTGAAATTGTTTCCGAACAAGGCTGGGCGGATGTGTAGGTTTTATTTCTTTATATCATTTCGGACGTACGCGATGCCCGATTAAGAATTTAAACATGTTTACACATACAATTTTGCCTCCAAGTTGGAGCTACCAATTTTAGATATCGACAAGTTCTCGTCAACCGATTGTATCGAACCATTTCTGTAACATCTTCCCATACTAATTTGAAGAAGTCCGTACAAAGACTTGCAATTATTAATGTTTCTTGAAAAAATCGGTGAGAATATTTAACCAAAATGAACAAATCCAGAAAATTTGCATGGGATGGAACCAATTTTTGAACAACCTCTCACACGAAATTTCTTGCAAATTAAAGGTCTCATTTGCGGCGATTTGTGGTGAAAATTGGTCTAAACTAGAAACTGGACATATATAAACTTATCGTGATAAACTTGGCTTAAAAAGGCCGACTTTTCGTAACTCTTGGCATGTAATCGTTCTCATGAAAAGTACGCGTTTATATGACGACGATAAGTTGGAGATCATGTTAAATTGTATGGTCTAGGGTCTTTATTATTCGGAGTTACTTGAAAATAATTTTCTAATTTGCTGGTTTTCTTTTCTTTTCTTTTTTTTTTAATTTTAAATTGTCAACGCAAGGCTCTACGATATTGGCCGTCGTTTAAGCCAGACTGACAAAGAATCTTTAGAAATGGTAGCGTATAATTTAAAACGTCTTAAAGCCTTGCCTTTGGCTGCCGAAATGTTTAAAAAGTTGGGTGATGAAGCCCAAGTAGTACAACTGCATGTAGAAGCTCGTGATTGGACCGAAGCGTTTCATTTAGCAGAAAATCTGCCAGATTTATTACCTCAAGTCCATTATCAGCACGCACAATGGTTGGCGGAGAATGATCAATTCATCGAAGCTCATGAAGGTTTGATTATTTAAATCCAAGATGAAATTTTAACCTATGCAACCATTTTTTCTTTGCTTTCTTAACAGCTTACTTAAGGTCTGGTCGCATAAAGGATGCCAATCGTCTATTAAAACAGTTAAGCTCTGCTGCAATTGAAGAGGAACGTTTCCTCGATGCTAGCTATTTTTATTGGTTGCTCTCCAAGCAATACTTGGACATTTATTATGAAAAGGAGTGAGTAAACACTTATAGTTTTACAGGAAACATACTAATTACATTTCCTTTCTAAAAAAAAAAAAAAAAAAACAAGGAAACAATCTCCTGTGGATTTTTACTTGAAAGAGTATAAGAGTTTTATGCGAATCGCTAAAATCTATTATGCCTACAGTGTCATATACAACTACATGAAAGAACCGTTTACCACATATTCGCCTGTGAGCTTGTTCAATGTTTCGCGGTTCATTTTAAATGAAGTTGAATTCAAGACTGTACCAAAAGGTGTAAGCATGTTGTATGTGAGGAATAGCACAACAAAAATTATATGACTATAATGAGCTTTTCATTTTTCAAGTGCGGTACTGTTCACCCTGGCCAAGCAAGCCAAATTTTTGCAAGCGAATAAATTGTGTTTGGTTGTTAACAAACGTTTGCAATCGCTTAAGCCACCCGCCGGCGTGCAGGAACAGATTGACGTAAGTTTTATTAATAATAAAAAAATATTTTCTTATTTAATTTCCTAACTAAATATTATATTGCGATAATTTAGATTAATTATTTAAACAGTAAGGCTTGCAAGAGCGGTTTCAATGACCCCGAAGAATTGCTGCCTTTGTGCTATAAATGTTCAAATTATAGTCAACATTTAAATGGTAACTCTTGCCCCACTTGCAAACAGGATTATATATTTTCTTTTATATCATTTGGTAAGTCATAGAGCGTCTTAATAAAGTAAAACGAAGCGTGCGTTTATTAAAAGCTTATACATAAACAATTTGTCAGAAATTTTACCGTTAGTGCAATTCTATCCTGAGATTGATATTAGTGATACTGAAGCGGAGAGATTGTTGTTAGCTCCGCCAAAAGCCAGTGAAGATCAAGATCCATTTAATGAGGTCTGTATGTTTATATATTTATAGTTGGAGATTAAAATGTTTACCGTTTAATGTACAGGATGTTGCCAGTGCGTTGCCGTTAAGTTTAGATCGGAATGCTTTACGAGCTATAGATCCTAACCATGTGCTGGTTTTAAAACGCCGTAATAAGCCAAGCAGCAAATTTGTGTATTATCGCAATATATTACCTGATCTACAAATAACCTACTGTCCGGAATGCTTGCTAGTAAATATAATCATATTAAATATAAGCTGATTGCTTATTGTTTGTTCTCTAGGTGTTCTACGCTGAAGACTTTGAGTTGCAAGTTCTACAAAAAGGTTTTTGTCCTTTTTGTCGAACATCGGCCGACAAACTATTGGAGGAATATTGAATGCATACAGTATTTTTAAATTCTTGCTCATTTACGAAATATTTATTTAATAAATCTTCATGACCACGTCTCTTCTTGATAACGATTAATTTTAAACATTTTTTCGACATACGCTTCATCTTTATCTAAAACATTTATAAAGGCTTCTTTTACGGCTTTAGGCATGTTTGTGGAAGAACCGGCTACGTATACATAGGCATTACATTCCTTTATTAATTTTTTCAATTCTTGCGAATTCTCCTCTATTAGATGTTGGACATAAATCTTATGATCTTGGTCTCTTGAAAAAGCAACAACGAGTTTTATATGGTTTTGTTTGTGCCATAATTCCAAATCGTTTTGAAAATGAAAATCTTTTGAACGATTTCGACAACCGAAAAATATCCACATTAAGCTTTTATGTGAGTTCAAATCATTTTGATTAATTGTAAGCTTTTGAATTATGCTACGGAATGGTGCAATCCCTGTACCAGGTCCTATCATTATCAAAGGTGTGCTAAGCTCTTTCGGTAATTGCATGGTACCTCGTTTAAGACAACCCAAAATGTTGTCGCCTATCTTTAAGCATTTCAACCAATTCGAACAAAGACCCAAACGCGGCGAAGACATTTTAGTTCTATACTCTACTACGGCTACTAGGAGATCCAACGTTTTGCTTTCTACACAACTAGCTATAGAAAAACTGCGGGTTTGTATGAAGCTAAACATTTCAATAAAAATTTCCAAAGTCAGCTTGGACGTAGCATGACGGAAATCTTGCAAAACTTCTAGAACAGTCCTGCGTGGTCGATTAATATAATTAAGTACCTCCTCCAAACCATCGGAAGTAGTAAATTCTAAAAGTTTTTCCTTTTCCATATTATCTTCGCAGTTCAAAGCCAATAATTCAAAAAATCTTCGTCGCGGTTTAGCGCTCAAATCCCATATGTATGTTGCCATTTGTCTAACATTTAAAGGTTTACTATAACATTTAGGCAGAATCATGCCCTGATGGTTGCTACTCATTCTCACTAATGTATTGGAATCAAAGTCCAGTTCATGTTCTTGGACTAAGGCAAAAAACTCGTCAATTTGTTTTTTAGAGTTGTGAGGATGAATTTCTATAATATCTCCGGGTAACCAAGTTGCACTTTCAGGCACTTCAAATTGTATAAAGCGAACATCTTGAAAATGCGAAGGATCAGTGGTACGCACATTGTTTATTAGTTTAAATGAATGAGTGGGAGTTTGGCGATGAGGCCAAAGTAGGTGATAATTGTCTTCATCAAGAATTGCAGTATGATCTAATCTGCAGCAATGCCACTTGAAAAAAAAAGTTTCGTGTAAGTTTTCGACATTTCGAAAGTTTAAACACAATCGTTCTTCCACCTCTTCCCATACATTCGTCATCCATGGTATAACTACCGCATTTGAACCATAATCATGTTGATCATCTGCCAAGGCTAACGGTATAATAGGTTGGGCACCCAATTGTTGTAAGCGTTTATTTAACTTTTTTGCTGCGTAATTGAATTTAGCATAACTGGAATCTCCCAAACCTAAACAAGCGAATTGCAAGTTGCTCAAAGAGTCAACTGGCAAGTTACGTTTCAGCAGAAACTTCCATGTGTTCCGCATATTATCAGGCTCTTTACCATCCCCAGTGGTAGCCACTACAAACAATACCAAATATTCTTCAGTGAGTTGTTGTATTTGGTAATCATCCATAGCCATTACAAGACCGTCGAAGTTGCGCTTCTTTGAGTCTCTCCATAACTGTTCGGCCACGTCCTGGGCTGTTCCTGTTTGGCTACCATACAAAATAAGAATTCTCATTATTTTTTTTAGATAAACGCCTTAATTTTTTATATTAAACTAACAAATTAATCTAAAATTATTTTCTTCTTCTTCTTCTGTTATTCAGCAAGCAAACAAACGAAATTTCGCTGAGATGTGCAAAAAAGGTGCAATGTAAACGCAGAGTTCTTTGTTTGGATCTTAGATTAGTAAGGTTAGATTTAATATATAATATTATTATTTATTTTTATTAGTGTTTGTTTGATTAAAGTTTTTAATTTTTTTATCTTTTATTTTATTTATTTACTTTTTTTTAAT